ATTCGGTTATAAATGCACGTAGAGACTTGAAACTTGGTAATAATACTTATATTGGATTTACTTAGACGTGGTAAAATTTCCAAAATCATCGAACGACTTTTTTTTTTACAATGGTAGTTTATTTTTATTTTTATACTGTAGCCTATTTTTATTCTGAAAAATTTACTCCAATGTATAAGTGTAGCACTTTTTCTGAAAGCCAATTTTATCTACTTGATAAATACATAGGTTGTTTTTTAATTTTGATATTTAAAATAAAAACTATTTAAACGGGGTAAAAAATACGATTTTTTCACGATTTCGTTATTTGTGAATAAGTACCTGTGTAAGTGTGTATCTATGTACAAATAATTTAATGTGCATTTATTATTGACTTTCAAAGTTTGTGGCACACTTAGAGAACAATGGAAAGATCGAGTTAAGGAAGAACTTAGATTATTGGGAGTGTTGAATGTAGAAAAGCAGGTAGGTCATTGAGACGCATAAAGGAAGTTTGTGGAAGCGGCAATGAACCTAAATGGCCAAGATTAAGGCAAACAAACAAAAAACAAAAATGTCCGTTTGGCTTTGCCCGTTTTAGTGTATTGAATGAAAAAAAATACGTGGAAAGTAGGTAGTCCAGACTTTAAGTGTTCTAGTGTATCATAAATTTGGTTATCACAGCACAAGGACCGAACTATTTATGGTATAGTTATCTACTATAAGAACGGTAAACTTATGAAGACATAATAGTAATGTAGTAATTTATAATAGTTTATCAAAGAATCAAAAAACTCAAAGATGACGTTTTACGTGTTTATTCACTTATTCATCTAGTACAGTGCATAATTTATTTATTTTCCACGATTTTTGTCAAAATTTGATATCAAAACTCCTATTAAAAACAATTCTACATTACACTCAAGAGCAAACCCGTCCTTCTCGCTCCTCTTAAAAAGCGTATAAATGCAATACCCAGGGTTTAGCAGTGTAACACATATACAAGCTTAGCTTTATAAGCGATTAGAAAATATTCACTAAACGAACTATTATGAAAATAAAAACTGAAAGTATCTTGTGCTTCTCCCAATTCTATTACCCACAACAGTCATGGCGCATTAGTTTTTATGATTAATAAAGGAGGTAGCTATTATTATTTTATGTTATTATTGTATGTTTATTAATAGCGTTAAAATATAAATTTTTGTTCTTATGAAATAAATGAAAGATTTTTAAAAAAAATTAAAAAATGGATATACTTTACACCACAGATGAGTCACTGTTGTAGGTGAGAAGTTGTGGAAATGTAGAAGGGAAATTTAATCTACATCTGTAAGTGACGATTAATCATTGCTAACGAAAACGATTTAAGTACAGAGTACTTGACTCATTGTTGCTCTTTTTGAGGCGTCTGGTTCTAAAATAATCCTGTAACAGTTAAATTTCGGTAAAATAGGGGAGAATTTTTTTCCAATCAGAAAAGAAACCTATGAAATAAAATCACGTTCGGTTTATATGAATCGTTAAAAAAAAATCATGTGTAAGTAGTCGCATATGCTTGCAAGGTGTGTCTCTCTTCTTCCCCTTCGGGTGCTTATGAATGTAATACATCAATACCCAGCTTTTAGAAGTATAACAGATACATGTATCAAAGATATCTTATCACTTTTTTTTTCTCCTACAGAAACATGATTCATAGCCATTTTTCAGTATGAAAAATAAACCCCAAAAGTGTTGTTTGTGTTAACTATTTTGTATAAATACAATTGAATAATTATCTAAATAGATGTCAATTATATTGATAAACTATGTTTGGTTTAAACTATTTACGTTTATTTATTATAATAATTTTTATTATTATTTTTTAATTTTATAAACCGTAAGTTGCTGTAATTGCAACTATTTCATTTATTGAAAACTAACATATCGGTCATAAGTGAGTAGAAAATATTCACCAAACGAATTATTACGAGAATTGAAAAAACTTATTTTTACTGACTAATTTTTATTATTATTATTTATTTATAAACGCCCGATGGGGATAGAGTACAGAAATCTTATGTATATATATAAGTTATATATATTTAACTTCACAGTACATATATGTACAATGGTTAAAATTATTTTAACAGTAAACACTATAGAGACACATAATAAGGAGTAACGAAAATAAGTCAAGTAAGACAATATTGGCACTATGAACTACAAAGTAAACATGTAAGACAATAATACAACTTAAAAACTATAGAATACAACTATTTTTCATTTAATGTTTCATCTCTAAGAGAGAATTAAAAAAAAAAAAATCGAAATTTTTAAGTTTATTACTTAGAGTTGATTCGATTAATCGTTGCGAATAGGCAATAATTACGTTTGCAAGTGGGCACATAGAACGGGGTCATAGATCCTAACGTTTTGTTTGGAACATTTATATTAATTAATGCGAGTTTTCAGGACAATCGATTTTGGAATTGAGTAAGCTATATAGCAAGTCGTTAAATTTTCTTCTAAATTCCAGATTTTCGACATTAAATTTTAAAGCATGAGATTGCAAAATTAGCTCAATATTGTTTGTTTTATAAGCTAGCATAAAAATTGATTTTGGGTTCGTTTTGATTTTTTCATAATATACTCGTGATGAGGGCACTCGATTAGCGAACCACTTTCCAGAACTGATCGTACGATTGAGACATATAAAACACGCAAGCAATTTGGACTATGAAACTCCCAGCAATTGCGTTTTAAAAACCCGAACATACGAATAGCTTTATTATGGATTTCATTAATATGTTCGGTAAATTTAAAATCACTAGAAAAAATAAAACGTTAGTCTTTAACCATAGATGTGAAACCGAGTTTTTTTGTTATTTTTATGATAATTGGATAAACAATTCTGCCAATTTTTAGTGAATATGATTTGAGTACATTTATCCGTATTTATATCTAAACTGTTGTTTGAACAGAACTGATTGGGGTCATTGGCTTATTAGGTACAATCATCTATTGAAGAAATAGGCATAAATAGTTTAAAATCGTCCGCAAACAAAGCGGTTTTACAAAATTGAAATGTACCATTTAAATCATTGACAAAAATTAAAAATAGCATAGTCGAAAGATGCCCGCCTTGTGGCAGCTCCAGAGGATATATTAATATCATGCGAGACTGAATTTCCGATTTTATCTTGTTGAATTCAGTCAGATAAGTATGAGTTGAACGATGAAAGAACTGGATCTCTTACACCAATAATATCTAGTTTATTTATTAATATATTAATATTTATTTTATCAAATGCCTTTCTAATATCCATGTATATCAACTTAAACACCATTATTTACTAAACGCATTAAACCTGATTGAAATGTCATTAAATTGGTTAAAATTGATTTTGCTTTACGAAAGCCAGATTGGTTATCAGATAAAACAGTTTTAAAAATATTAGACGTTTTCGGTTCAAGAATTTGTTCAAATAATTTTGTTAAGACATTCAAACAAGAAATAGGACGATAATTGTCTACGAGAGATCGGTTCGCGGAATTAAAGATCGAATAAATAAAACTAGTTTTCTAGAGATTAGAAAAAACTCCTGTAGATAATAATAAGTTAAATAAGTAATAAATCGGACGGACTGAGGCATAAGAACAATTACGGTAAATTATTTCGGGAATTTCGGGACATTATTTTTTTTTAAAATGACAAGTAATTTAAAGAGTTAAGAATTTCTGAAACAGAATATAAATTAATTATGTCTTTAGTGTAAGATGAGTTATGTAAAGTATGTGAAGAAAATATTTGACTAGTAGAGACTGAACCAAAGTAACATTTAAACAGATCAAAAGAAGTATCGGGGTTGTTCGTGGTATTATCTTTAGAATGTATAATATTAAAAAGATCATTATTTTGTTTCTTATCCTTGATAAACTTTCAAAAATATTTGGGGTTGTTTATCGGGGAAGCTTGAATACCTTTTAGATACTTGGAATAATATAATTAAGAGAGTTTCTTACAACGGCTTCTTAACTAAAAAATTCGACATATACAACTTGTCATAGCCCGAAATCTTTTAAGCTTTATGCAACTTTTTTTTTTCAATAATTAATGAACGCAGCTCACTTGAAAACCATGTTGGAATTTTAGTTTGGATGGAGAACATTTTTTTTGTTAAGCTATTTATTATATTGAGTAAAACTTAGTAAAAATGTTCGACTGCTACATTTACGTCTTCTATTAAATGCAAATCTGACCAAGCAACACTTGCTAACATATTATTCGTTACTGTATAGCTAATTCATTTTTAAACTTAAGAACCACGATTTAGAATCGACCTCTCGTACAGTATTTTTTTAAATTACTTTTTATTATATGATGGATGACCTATTGGTAACATGCTATCATCCGAGGAAAATGTATTTACTAATTAATTCATAATTATAAAAGACCAAATCAAGCTGAGAACTATATATTTATTATCAACAGTATTAATTTGAAACAAGTTAAGTGATGCATAATTTTCATAAATAGTATTATCCGCAGTGCGATATAAATTATCACTTATGTGATAAACCTGGCAAGTTGAAATCACTCAAAATAATATCAAGCGAATATTTATTGAAAACATATTCACCCGTTTCAGTGAGAGCTGCATAATACTAATTAAGTGTGTTTAATGATAGTAAGCTTAAAACGTTCACATACGCTTAAAACGCTTATGTATACCTATCAACGACCCGCCACCCTCTTATCGCAGCGGTCAAAACGATACATAATATCCACAGGATGAAATTTATCGGAGCCAGGCTCGTTATGGAAAATATCATCCAAACCTAACATCAATACCTGTAACAGTCGTACGGTTTTAAATAAGTTGCCATGCGCTTAATCGCAGACGGCCGTCGTAGCGTTCGATAATATTGTAAAAGATCGTTTACGGTCCTCCTCACAAAGTATTTTCGGTGTACACCGTCCGAGGAGTATACAAAATTGTACCGAGAAAATACTGTATTATCAAATCGTAATTACGTGATTAGCCACGATCTGCTGGCGGTTGTTGTGCGGATACGGAGCGCCCACACGTCGTAGGCTTTCGGATCTTACGGTATGCCCTGGAAAACGGAATAGGAAAAATTCGCCAAAAAAATTCAGCGTGTTAAATTGTAACGGAAACGCGCGGCGTAAGTACACGGGTATACTATACGCACTTGGAGCACTTCCGGCGCCGCGTACCACATACTGCCGTAATACGTCCGGCGCATCAGTCGCCGGCCCCGCTCGTCTGAACACATCCTGGCGAATCCGAAATCGGCCGGCTTGACGTGCCACATGTCCTCCAACAGCACGTTCTCGCATTTTATGTCCCTGCGCGATACGTCCTCCTTGTGCAGATAATCCACGGCGTCGCGTATCTGCCTGCACCGATACGATACACACGTTTTTAAAACAACGAAATATACGCAATAACAGTTATTATAATTGAACGTCGAGTCTTGTATCGTGACAGTACGCCGCGGTCGGTACGCCCGGTTATTATTATATAATAGGTCTTGGACAATCCGTCCTCCTCTTAGTACCCTCTCCTCCTCCGCGGCTATTCCCGGATCCCCGAGACCGACCCACCGGCCGGATCATTTGGACCAAGGGTTCAAAGAGGTCGGGCTCACTTGAAAAACGTGTGCGCCTGCCACTGCGGCGTGCTCTTGGAGGTTTGCAAATGTTTGAGCGGGTCACCGGACCCGCAGTAGTCCATGAACACGTGCACGGTGGACGGGGTCGAGTATATCCGGTGGGTTCTGACCAGGCGCGGGTGCCGGACCGCGCGCAACACTTTCAGCTCCCCCGGCAGGGACTTGTGCACGTACGGCCCCTGTAGGGTCCCGCGACTCTTGTCGATCACCTCGCGCGCCAACCGCACCATTTTGTTGTCCGGCAGCGACTTTGTGGCTATCCGGACCTTGCTGTACGACCCGTAGCCCAGCGTTTTGCCCAGCCGGTAACCGTCCGCGGCCAACGTCCCGAGCAGCGCGTCGTCCGTCAACTCGACGATTCTCGCTTTGTTGTGCGGTTGCTGGCACTCGGACAACGGCGGCTGCGTGACCGGCGGCGGCGATGTGTGCGGTGACCGCCAGTTGGTCGGTCGGCCGTCGCTGCTGCTGCTGCTGCTTCCGATTCTTCTCGCATGACTGTTGCTGCCGCTGATCACTGCAGGGCGACCGACATGGACTGCGGGGATACTGACGCTGTCTGAGATAAGATTGTATTGATGAATACATAAATTATCGGATTGGTTGGTGGAATTTTAAGGTTTCACGATTGGTAAATCCGATTTCGATTTATTTCCTTTATTCTTATCAGTTGTCGGAGAAAGAACACACCCTCACCCGTTATTAAGTACAGCGGACCAATTCTTGAAATCGTGATAAACTTTGTCGCATGCGATAAAAATTGTATAGCATGAAAATATACATAATATTTGGTATTCTTGAAGAGGTTATGACTGTAGTCGAACGAAACACAGTCGACTAGTTGTCGATTGGATAAAAGTCGGCGACCCGCCTATACCGAACGATTATTTATGCAAATTTGTCTTATAATAATAATTTACTAATTTTAATTTGTGTATTGTACTGTTGTGTTCTTACTGATTTGTTCATATTAGTTACTATTTTGCGATCATATTATAATTATTAATAGCATCGATTATTATTATGGAATGGCAATAACGTTGATGAACACGAAAATTATAATCAAATAATGCAAATTATGAAAGAAAAACCCGAAATGAGAAACCTATTACGGATCCATTCGCACGTTGTCCGTTCATTTATTTACATATTAAAAATGTTAGACTTAAAAACGACTTAGTAAGAGATTTAGCTAATCTATTAAATCCTAATATAGTTTTGAAATGTTTGCGTTCATCTGCGATTGATTTCAATACTAAAATAAGTGCATGGTTAATGTTCATTATACTGTAAATTGATATAAGATGCGTATTTAACTAAATAAAAATTTCTCATTTTAGGTACCTATTTAAATGTTATATTTTACAATTATAAATTAAATGCCTTATTTCCGTAACTATAAATAAAATTTTTGTAGCCGTGACATTACTTTTTTAAGAAATTTTACTTGTACATAATTGTTTAAAATACTCCTTCAATTATTATTATAAACCGTCAAATTTACAGTTTTTCCCGAACTGTTGCCGGACGTCAGTATAATGTTTGGTTAAAATCTGCCGTCGTCGTACATTTCCACGGCCATTACTGAAAATTTGGTAGACTGATAGTATAAATATGGTTTCGCGTTTTCGCGGAGAAACGGATACTTGTTTAAAAAACCCTAGTCTGCGTTGCCAACATCGTTGTTTTTACTCCTAGATCAATATATAATATGCTTGCGCCTATCTAAAATGTGATCCTGCACGACAATATTTCGCGATAACTTCGCACGGCTTTCGTTTCATCGCGGAGCATACAATTATTATACGGAATCTACGTTATGGGAACTCGTAAATTTGTGTTGCATATCTACCTTTACACGATGTGTATTTGTAATAATAATATAAAAGACTTAAAAAAAAAAAAAAAAAACTGTTTCTGTGTACATACAAATATAGTTTACCAAACGGTCGGAAATACAACTTGCCCGTATCGTGTAGAAATGTTCAGGTTCAATTTCCACGCGGCTTTCGTTGTTATTAGGGTACTGTATTGTTGAGCTCATTATGCTTGAAATGAGTTAGATATTTTTATTTTATTATATGTTTATTAATCATGGTAAACTAAATATTTTCGTTCTTAAGCGATAAAAGTAAGATTTTGCAAAAAAAAAAAAAAACAAACTGACCTACTTCGCACGTCGGACTGATCACTGTTATCGTGCTTAGAATAGTGTTTCCGTATACTTGCATAATATCGTAGATTATAAAATATCGCGTTGATTTTATAGTGTACATGTATAATTATGGGTAATAGAGTACGAAAACAAGTAGTGTACGTATTACCTTATTCATGTGGACGGTGTAATTTTCACACTATCCATCTTAAATATGTATCCTGGGCTGTTTCGATTTTTAACTAACTTTTTTCCGAATTAAAAATGGAAATGTGGCCTCAAATTTACCACCAAAAAATATTTTTAGAATTCGCTCTTCGCGTATTTAGTTTTTCCATTTAAATAACGTAGTAAAGTAACGATACTTTAAGTTCGAAAGTTACGAGGTTATATTGTAAATATACAAATTTTCAGATTTCTGTTTTTTTTTTTTTTTTTAATTTTTAACTCATTATAGTCTACGAATTTATAACTTAAAAAATTTATTTTCGTTTAACATTTTTTGGTCAAAAAATGGCTGAATTATATAAATTTATAATTTGTATAAAAACGTTGAAAAAGCTCAGTTTTTACAAATTTCTACAAATGAACTATTCTTATAACAGTAAAATTTCTCTTGATTCAAAGTGAATCCTATATATTTTTTTCTGATCTTTAAGAAAATTTGTGTAGAACCTCGTAACTCTCGAACTTAATGACTAATTTTGATTCAATTGAAAGCATCTGTACTTTTCTATGTGATTTAAATGGAAAAACTAAATATGCGATGAACAAGTTTTAAACATTTTTGTATGGGGCTCACATTTTTTTCGGATAAGTTTGATACCATAAAATGGAATTTCCAGTGTTAATTCAAAAAAAAAAAAAAAGAGTTAAAAATCAAAACAGCATAACGTATACAGAACATCCAATCGAATTTTTACATTAGCCGGCGTGTTGCAGATTAAGTATTCGTATCGCTATAACTGTGTATGCACAACCGTTCAAAGGATAAAACAGTCCGAGCGATCGTGCGATCCTGTCGGGTTTTCTATAGTACTTCGGGTCGCAGGGTATAGGTGTCAAATTATTAGAGTACGCGCTTTACTCGCTCGGCCGGTCAATGTACTAATCACCCAAGTAATTCACGAAATAAACATTTTATGTGTAGGTAACATTCTTACTTTGTCCAATAGGTATGGGTATATAGTGTTCACGTTGCTTGAATAGCGTATATATTATTACGCGTCCTTTCGTACTTTACCCGTAATGCGCATTATATTATAATATAATGATTAAAGGCCGGATTTATGTTCTATTATGATTCACAAAAGGCGCTTAAAATTTTTTAAAAGAGCGCTAAAAAACGCACTTTAAAACATTTTAAAAAGTAAAAACGAGAAAGCAGGAGTTAAAAAGTTCCCCTCTAATGGCTCTAACTTATCAAATTAAATTTCCTAACACTGTTCATGACTGGTTAAAACAAAATAATTTCTATTAAATAAAATCGTATGTATCATAAAAAAAAATATTTTATTATTCATCATTTCTGTGGCGTTTAAAAATTGTATTAAAAGGTCAAATCCGTTAGAGGGGGAACCATTAAAGCCATCTATTATTTATTGTTTTTTAAAATATTTTTTCGAGTGTTTTTTCTTCAAGTGCTTTCTTGTGGATTTTAAGAACACATGAATCCGGTCTCTAATAATAATCACTGGTAACACGCGGACCGTTCCGAGTCTGTATAAAACGGACAGGAAAATTTAAATTGCTTTTCAAATAACCCGCACGCCGTGCCGATTCAGATAATATACGCCCTTCGTAACAACTCGGAGGAACTGAACTCGGACGCTTCGGAACCGACTCGGATACAAAAGGAATTACGGGATTCGGCGAATGTAAAAGCAACACGGTTAGAGAAGGGTATTATTATGCCAGAGGTGCGAGTTACGAACAGGACTGGCTTGAAATGCATCGAGGTCACGTGCAGTCGTTTTTGCGGGGCCTGAATAAGCTTTTTCGCTTTTTCCCTATCCAGCATCAAGCATCGTAATTGAGAATGTTTCATGGGAGAGGATGTCAAAATAAATATTTATGACAAATTTTCGGGGGGCTTTGCCCCCTCCATTTTATATCTCATCACATATATCAATAATAATTATTCTATATTAAATATGAAAATTAACTAAATTTAACAAATTTCCTATCAATTTTTTAGTATATAAAATGTATTAAAATATTTTGTCCAGATTCCTAGGCTTCTTAGCAAGTTTACCAATGACCACTTTGTTTAAAAATTTAACATCGTAATGAATTACCAACATTGCCAGGTCATTAATCTACAAATTTGTAGGTAACAGGCGATATATAAATATAGCATATGGTCGGGGGATATATCCCCCATAATTTGCGAAATATAATAAATATAATTTTACAATTTTTCTTTTACTTCGGACAACTTTTCTACCAGCAATTTCGCTCCAACTTTTTAATGATAGCAATGTTTCTGAAAGGAAATTTCAGTGGAGAGGTACTTTAAACAGGACGTTTTTCCATTTTTCACGGAGTTTTTTCAGCAAATGTGAAAAACTGGAAAAACCGGGAAAATCGGTTCAACATTAAACACATGTTGTTAAAGAAAATATATGGAGCCTATTAATTTCTTTTGCTATAATATGGCATATACGGGGTGATCAATCTATTATAAGGCACTCATTATCTCAGAAAGTATTAACTTTTTCCGAAATTTATTTTCTAAAACATTTAAGCTGCTCTACAATTTTATGTATAAGTAATTTTTTGCCACCCTTATTTTTGGGGGTAAAATAATTACCTACTTTTGATTTTAAAACGGCAATCTATGTTAAAAATTCCATAAATAGATGGTTAATAGTATTATTATATTATTATTATCATAAATAGTATTATTTAAAATGAATTTAGGTGTTAAAAATTTTGATTTCCGTCAACCCGTTAACGAAATATTCTAATATTTTAAGCTTAGGTAAAGAGAAAGTAGCGGAGTATCATATGTGTGGCAGTACAGCGCATAGCATGTTAATAATGCACCGCCACTCACCCCCAACCCAAACTTAAAAGTAGGATATCTCGTCAACGGATTGACGGAAATCAAAAATGTTAACACCAAAATTTATTTTAACTAATACTTCTTATATTTGTGGAATTTTTAATATAGATTGCTATTTAAAAATCAAAAGTAGGTGGTGGTTTTAACCCCAAAAATAAGGGTGAAAAAAAATAACATGAATATAAAATTGTAGGGCAACTAGCTTCTTAAATATTCAAAAAAACAAATTCTGGAAAAAGTAAATACTTTCCGTGATAACGAGTGTCTTACAATAGATTGATCACTCTGTATATTGATGACAAAGCATCTATCAGACTATCATCTGAACTCCACTCAGAATGGTTTTTTGTAAACAATAGTTTATCG